ATTGCCTCTTTACTCTATCTTGTCTTTCGTGTGAGAAGGAAAGAGGTAATGATGATTTCCATTTTGGAGATATGCATTGTAAATGGATGGGATGGGAAAGTTATCCTTAGGAAAACCTTAAGTAAGGTGATTGAGGCTGCTTGTAGATGAATATTTATTAGCCTTGACCTATTTAGTATAACATTTTTCTCCCTTCTGTTGTTCAGAAAATTTGTCAACAAGCTTGTGCCAGTGCATGTACTCATTGATTTCCTTCTTAACTTTGCCTCACAATGAAATTTAGTGCACTGTCATTACCCAGGCACGTCTTTTAAGGTTTAGCCACTGTTTGACATCATTCTATAAAACATATAAAACACTAAAGGTGCCCCCAGGGCACATCTCCAAGTGGTAAAAGAGGAGGGTGGAAAAATTCAGCTTTACTTGAAGCTGCTGCGTCAAGGGTTCGAATCCTGAAATATGGATTTGGCTCTTGGGTAAGTGTAAGTGTACAAGCAGCCTTCCACCTTGTACCCTTGGAGGCATAACCTGCGATTTACCTCCCTCACGATACTCCAGGACAGGGGTGGTGGGGGACCCTTAAGGTTAGGGTTTAACCTTTTATAAAACACTAAAGGTGCGTTTGTTTTGCGTTTCTATTTTTTTTTTCAATTTTAAATCCATTTTCTATTATTTGTTTTGAGAGATTATTTTTAAATTTCAGAAAATATGTTTGGTTTGTCATTCTAATTTTTCAAAACCAAAACTAAAAAATGCGCTTGGTTTTAAAATTTTAAAAATAGTTTTATGACATTTTTTTCAATTAATTTAATTATTTAGTAAAACACATTAATTTTATGCTAATATGTGATCAAAAAATATAAATTTTAAAGTTGGTTAAAAAATGAATCATTGGAATTATATCTTCAACAACGGCATTATAATCATCAATATATAATCCATTGAGAGAGAGAGAGAGAGAGAGAGAGAGAGAGAGAGAGAGAGAGTATTTGTATTTGGGTAGGTTTTAGGTGATTTTATTAATTATTTTAATTTGAAAAAAATTTCAAGTTCATTTTCATTTTCCTTTTTTTTAAAAAAAACTATTTTCAACGTCAAAAGGTCATTTTAAGTTTTATTTGTAAAATTTTCCTTGTTTTTGAAAACACATTTATGAAAATAACATACAAAATATGTTGAGTGTTTTAGAAAATTGAAAATGACCTCAAAATAGCAAATCAAATGCATTTTCAATCACACATTTTTTCAATAAAATAATTTTACATATAAACTTAAAACTTTTCCATATATTTTAATCACATTATTCAAAAATTTACTTTTACAAAAACCTACCCTTTCACAAAATTAAGCTCAGCCCACACTGGACTTTTGGGCCCAACCCCACAGCCCAAATCTTTTTTATCTGTTAATTCCCTCCACGCTTCAGTCTAGCTGCCGAGCAAAGCCCAGTAACCCATTAACCTGTTAGCCCAACATGATCATCCAATACCCATGACCCATTTATAAATACAAATTACAACCCATCCCCCATTCTGCCTTCAATTGAAATTATTCAATCAATTCGAATTTCATTTTTCAACCTCGCCCGTCCACAGCCTACTCCGTCACAAACAGCACCATGTTCTTGCCAATGCTTTGCTCGAGCAAGAGACACTCACGGGAAGTCAGATCAAACGCACTACTTGCCGAGGTAAACTCTCAGCAAACACAGCAACAGCAGCAGCAGCACATACTTGCAACACAAAGTAATTCAGAATCCAATGCCATTTCGCCCTCAACGCCTAATCGAGCGGCGGCGGTAGCAGCAGCTGCTGCAGCCAAATCAAAAGGAATTGCTGCAGTAGGATCTTAGGGAAAATATGGTAATGGTGGTATGCAGTTGAGGAAAAGGACATCCCACGTATAATTTTAGCCTGACGACACTGGTAAAATGTGCCTTCTGTTTATTAAATTACTCCAAGGTGCATATGATTAGTTGCTTGCATTCTTTTCTCCTCTGAGAAACAACTGGAGTTAATATTGTTGCCAGTGGGTTCATTTTTACGCTAGTGCAGGGCATGCCTGAGAAAATGATATATTTTTGAAGCCCAATAATTAAGTTACTGTACAACGATGCTCGGGTCGAAACTGAACTAAAATCCTGGCTCCGCCCCTGAACACACCCTTAGGGCCCGTTTGACAAGGCTTTTATTTTGACTTTTGCTTATTGTAGAAGAGCTTTTGGAGAAAGCTATTTTAATTTTTGTTTGAAAATTAATATTTAAAATCACTTCCCATTCCGAAAGTGCGTTTGGAGGAAGCCAAAAAAATCAGCTTTCTCTAAAAGATCTTCTAACCTCCAAAAGCACTTTAAACAAAAATAGTCAAACGGTCCAAAAGCGACTTTTGACTCTCAAAAGCTCCTTTTGGCTTTTCAAAAGCCATCCCAAACGGGCCCTTAATTTGTTTTTATATCTCTTCTCCTAAGCAGTTTCTTTTATCTGAATTTTATTTTCTATGTTCCTGCCCTTTACTTCCTGTATCTCACTGGTCACCGCCCATGCTATGGGGTTGGGTATTGAAAATGATATTCGATGAACAAAATTATCTTATGGGGGTGAAAACTCTTTATATCCTCTAAATTGCTGCTTAAAATTTACTGTTAATTAATCTACTGATAGATAACCCCTCTGCATTTACATGCAATTCGTATTTTGTTCTCAGACTACAGCTATACTTTTTCAGGGTTCTCTTTTGGTACCCTTGCACCAGGATATGAGTTGGGTCTGATTTCAGACATCCCAGCTAGAGTTCAATGATAGTATATGACAGCACAACCACGAGCATATCCATCGGGTGGATCCAGCAAACGTGCATTTGCTTACTTTGTTTTGACTGGAGGCAGGTTTGTCTGCACCTCATTGGCCCCCTTTCCTGGTAGTTGGTACTTAAATTTCTGCATTAAAGATGTCCTTGCTCTTGCTTCCCTTGGGTTAGATCTATCTAGCGTTGAACCTGAGACAACTGTTACTATCAAGTGGCTTATTAGGCATCGCAGTGAAGAGGACATCAAGTTTAATTCGCCAACAGCGTGGGTGTTGCCTCCCTCGTGACCCACACAAGATGATTCTGTAAGGGGGCTTGTGGAAAATGGGGTGTGCACCCATCTATGGTGCTTCCCGTTGCCAAATGCTGGTGAATTTGGTGGTTGGTTTTGCCATGCCATAGGTCCCATTATGACATCTCTGGTAGAATTTGCCAAGGGCCCCAACTTATACTTTCTCGAATTAGTGTCATAATTTTTGACATAATGTCACGTGACATTTAATTATTGGACTATTTTAAACACAGTCAGTTTTTCTATCAAATTATAGGCTGCCACCTCGAATTATGTCACAACATATATTAAATTTCTTCTGGCAAAGTGGGAAAGTCCTACTTTTTTTTGACAAAGACAAGTTATTGATTGGATGAGAATTTAAGACACTACACCCGAGCCTGGGGAAGCTGGATTTAAGGGAACTTTCTCCTTTTATATATAAAATTTAATTTGATTATTTCTCTCCCTCTCATGCTTCATATGTTGGATTTTTTGATTGGCCCGGCAGTCAGAACAGGGTCCTGCTTTTTTTGAACTATATACTTGAACACAGTATCTCTTCATGATACTATCAATTAATTTTATCAACCCTATAGCTGATTAGACTTTTACTGGAGTTCCAAAGAATGTTGACCATTATATGACTGAAGAACACTTCGTTCTTCATGATTTGGACCTAAACTGTATGTGCAGCCTTGCACTCAGGTCAGTTTCCCCGAACCATTTCCTTGTATGCAGGGCAATCTGTTCCTGCCATGCTACGTCATTTGAATGCCCCTCGAAATGAGTTGAGATCTGCCGTCCACCTAATTTATTATTGACACATCATTTAAGTTAACATGTAATCAATTTGATAGATTAGTGATGAAGTTAATGAAAGTAAATTTGAGATGACATGTTAATTAAAAAATGATGTATCAATAATTAACTGGATGGAAAGCAAATCTCAACTCGCAAAACTCATGGGTAGCATGCCCAACTAGGCCTTGGCATAGGGCAATGCAACACCCATGTCTTAGCTTTGCTCATCTTCAGGGGCTGATACACAGAGGCAGGTATCATTACTCACTTGTACAGAAGACATAGCTCTGCCAGTGTAACCATAATTAAAATCTGAAAATGTAAGAACAAGTCCCACTCTTTTTTACATGTAAATTACTTTTAGGATGATTAATAAAATATCTAGTTGTTCAATGTAAAAATAAATAAATTTAAATGTGAGTTATGCATCCATTCTCTTAAGAAAATGATAGCAAATATCATAGTGGCTTATTTGATAATTGTTTATTGTATAGTCATGTATTATCTAATTCTGTACACAAATATATCATAAATGCATGTCTAGCCTATTAAGGACATTTAAGTCCACAATCAAAAGCTTCTTCCAACTCTACAGGTTATGAGGCACCCTTTTTGAAATTGTAAGAGCATCTCTAAATTACTTTTAAAGAGCATATTCTATCATTTGGAGAACATATATAAATTTAGAGATTTAAAATTTTGAAGTACTCCAACAAGCTCTTTATACTTAACACTAAATTTTAATACTCCCAAAAAATATTTATTATTTTTCTCTATCTTTTATTTTAACCAATTTTTCTCTAGAATATTTTATTGTTTTTCCTACGTTGAAAATTGAAATACTTTGAATTCATTTAATTATAGAAAATGAGTTTAGCCTTCCAAATTTGGATAGTCAAAGCCACTCTCTATATTAAAATGTTAATTTAAAGAGTTTATTGAAGTATGATTTTAATGACCGTCTCTTTAAAATAGAGAGCATATCATGAAAGTCTCTTAAAGACGCTCCAAGGGGCATATATCCGTGACATCCATTTTTCTGTGTGCACGTTATCAGTGAGAAACATATCAAAGAAAAATATCAAATAACACATGATAAAATGAAAACACGAGGTAAGAATTAATAACAAAATTAACGCATAGCTATATTTGATAGTGAATAATGCACACAAACTGGTCCAGACAGCCAAGTGACATACAAATGAATCGGTTGCTTTCATATCTATCCAGTGACGAGAAGGACATTATGGTATTTCAATGTTATAATATTTGTTCTCATCTGCATCGGCAATCATAGAAATGCAGTTACCAAAATATGATTTATTATAAGCTCCCTGACAGTAGATGGTTTTGGGGATAATATAATTAATGGTGGAACTAAAAGTATATTCAACATATTAGCATTCTTGAATAGGAACCAAGTTTAGCTTGCCTCCGTATGTTTCTGGAAGTTGACTCTCATCAATGTCTTGAAGCAGGGTCGATTGTAGTTTTTTGTTGTCAACAAAGATGATCTGCGGGTATTTAGTAATCATAAACCAGGATCAGCTAACGATACGTTATATCTGTCAGTGTACTCATTCTGTCCAGCTCAAAGTAAGTGTGTTTCCAACTTACAACTGATATAAAAACAAAGAAACTTGTACCAAATGAAAATGACATCCGAAACAGAAACTATGACATTGTAGTTGTAACGAGTTATAAAGACCTTTAAACACAATGACTGCAAAAGAATGGTCATAAGATACTATCGTGAAATCATTCATCTCCAATTAATCACACAGTGCAGGGTGTGTCATGTATGTACAATAAGCGATAGAGCTAAAGGAGACATTCTACCTTCTTCTTAGTATTTTTGTCAATAAATGGGTAAACCATCTTCCATGCAGTCATGAATATGTAAGGAACATGGATTATGAACATCTTGCCCAGCCTCTCTGGGTAGCAGTCCTGTCATCAAAATCAATCAGAAAACCGACATAAGCTTTCACACTCTAGTATTGTGAATTTGTTTGGTTCAGTACACTAACTTGGCACTCCTGTTTATCACATGAAAAGAACAAAAACCTGCAAAATTGAGACAGCAGCTAGGTATCCGCGGATATCACTATTAGCATATCCCCATCCTTCTAGGTCAGCAATGGCAGTGAACTTCTCATGTCCACTTGGCATTCTGAAAATAATCAATGGTTAATTATGATAGTTAGTTATATGTAATTTTCTAAATTATGAAAGTGAAAATATGTTTTGATAAGTTTTTCAAGTCAGACTAGTTCTAAATGAGCCAATCTATCGTATGAAACCAAAAATATAGCCTGCTCAAATAATGTTCAACTTTTCTTCAGAAGGAAGGGGATAAATTAATACATTCAGAGAGTTGAATTACCTAGCACAAATTTGGTCAAGGGTATAAGTAACAAAACCTGCAAGAGAAAAGGGATGAGATTTTAGCATGAAATCGGCAATAGTGAAACATGCATGTGATTGTAGATGTTATAGGGATGGACCATGGTAACAATCCTGCCCCAATTCCTCTATGAAAGCTACAACTTTGTAAAAGTTTTAGGTAATAATATGCCTGAAAAACAGCAGAATAATCAGTATATAGATGGAGATGCTTTGCCCTTTACCAAGCCAATTTAATTATTAGGGAAGTTTATTGTCCAAAAAATTGGAAACGAAATATGTAGAAGTATACTTGAAACAACTGTAAATTAAAAGAAGAGAAGCTAATAAAAAACTGTATATTATTGCATACGCTTAAACTCTTCCACGCTCGTGGGCTTATGCCGTTCAGCAAAGACAAGGACTATTGGGCGTCCAGTCTTATCATGTCCTTGCATAAATAACTTATCCTGTGCAAGATCATTTGGAATTTCAGAAGGTGATATGAAACCATTTGGAACAAATTCTTTCCTCCAACTCAGGTACTTCAAAAACATGGCTGAAGCCTTTTCAACATCTAGATCACGAGCTCGGAGAAATCTACGGATCATAAAATCATCAACTTCCTGAAATCCAGAAAAGCAATATTCTCATTAGGTCCCAGTGAGTAATCAAAATATGATGTTAAAACACATAACAAGCCACTTCATTTATTTCTTAATTTTGGGATAGACAAGCTTGGCCCCTGAGTGTTGGATGTATATGGAAAGGAGATGGAAAGGACCCTAGACTGTTGAACCGAATCCCTGAAAGTTACATCTCACTCTGGTACTTAGCATCGGTTATGTCAGTATCCTTATTCCAAGATTGGGCATAAGGACCTTAGACTGTTGAACCGAATCCCTGGAAGTTACATTTCATTTTGGTACTTAGCATCGGTTATGTCAGTATCCTTATTCCAAGATTGGGCACAAGGACCTTAGACTGTTGAACCGAATCCCTGGAAGTTACATTTCATTTTGGTACTTAGCATCGGTTATGTCAGTATCCTTATTCCAAGATTGGGCACAAGGACCTTAGACTGTTGAACCGAATCCCTGGAAGTTACATTTCATTTTGGTACTTAGCATCGGTTATGTCAGTATTCTTATTCCAAGATTTGGCCTAAGGACCTTAGACTGTTGAACTGAATCCCTGGAATTACATTTCATTTCGGTACTTAGCTTCGGTTGTGTCAGTATCCTTATTCTAAGATTTGGCACACGAAACTCTATGATCTTATTTTACATATCTATTTCCTACCAAGTGAATTCTCTGCTAGAACTATTCAACAACTTATTCAGTTGTGCATAATCAATCTTTTCTCTCTCTTGTTCATTTAGGATTACCATTCAACGTGAGGCCAGAGATTAGAGATACTACTAGTTCATAGACTGAGTTAAGTTCTCCATCTTTTCATCCCTACACCAAACTCATAGTCACTGATAGCTCACTCAACCTTAATTCTTTTTGCAATCCGCTAATAGCAGGGTTCACCGCCTATCTTGAAAATTGTCAACAAACAGGAGCTTAAGGGCAAAATCCCACATTGCTTAAAATATTAAAAAAAAAAAAAAATTTACAAGGAATTGGGCTATTCCGTTATGGTTCCCTAATACAATTTCTTTAATTTCGCGTCTTGTATATTTCAATTTACTGGCCATCAAAAAAGTTCCATAAGGCAAGTAAAGCAAATTATAAAATGGTTAGGTGCAAGAAAGCGTTGATCAACAACACAAATATAAAGTTACAGAAAAACAAAGGTTTTGGTGAAGTAGGTACCTTGGCAGAGGGATCTTGAGCTTCGACAACAGCTCTCATAATTCCAATCTTACTGCGTTCTACCTCTTCTTGATCTTCTAAACTATCTTCTTTCACATCTGATGAACCAATTTGGAAAGACTGGAATTTTTGACGCAGATATGAAGTCATCTTCCTTCTTCCACCTCGTTCTTGGGATGCCTTCTCTTCTCCAATTCAACTTATCTGTGAAAGTATATAATAAAGATGGGGCGTTGGGTTTGGCGGATGTCATAAATATTTTATGCTGGGGATTGGCAGATGTCATAAATTTTTTATGCTGGGGATTGGTGGTCTTGGTTTTATTCTTATTTCTTGATATTTCTTTTTGGCCTTAGGACATTTTAGCCCCCATTTGAACCCCATTATTTCTCATTATATTAAATTAAATTTTTCTCTCTCATACTTTTAACCATATAATTTTCACTAAAGAGTAATGCTATTTGTAGTTGTTCTCTGCGATAGTCGCCCTACGTGACATACACATGGTAGGTGATTATTTGATGCATTAATGAATAGTTTTTTATTCATTAATGCATCAAATAACCACCTACCATGTGTATGTCATATAGGGCGACTGCCACAGTGAGCGACTGCAAATAACATTATTCTTCAATAAAATAATATTACACATAAATCAAAAACTTTTCAACCACTTATTTTAAAAAAAAAACATTATTCATCTCATTATAATCTACAAATAATGAGGCTCAAACGGGCGCTTAACTACATTGCAAAATCAACCACGCTAAAAGTTCAATTTTTTGTACAAATTGGTTGACGCGATAGCCAAGTGGCAATCCTCTATTAAAAGGACATACGAGTTGGTTGACATGGGGCCGTTACTCAACCAACTTGTACAAAAAATTGTACAAATAGAATAATTCTTGCAAAATGGGAAAACTGACAACTGGTAGCCCCCCGCCCCCCCCTCCCACTCACCTACTTTACACCTTCACTCCCTATGCCGAAATAAATGTGTAAATTCTTATAGGGGTCTCAAACTTTTTTTAAGTGTGACAGTTATTTTCTAACCTTTTCATTTATGAAATCCATATCCCCAATTTGGTAACAATGTACTCATTTAACGAAAAATGTCTATATACAATAAAACCTCAATAGATGAAGGTTAGATAAATTAATAATCTCGCTTAAATAATAAATTTGTTCGGTATCAATTTGGATCAATGTACTAAATTAATAACCCAGCTACGTGCATAAGATTTATAATTTTTTTTTTTTGAATCTTTTAAGGCCTGACGAATATATAAAATAATAATTGTTTAAATTCATGAAAGTTCATATTAATGACGGTAGAAATTATGTTACATGTTCAATGAAATAACTTGAACGATTAATCTTTCAAGTTATTTAAATGGTCACCGTTTACTTCGTCACGAAGGAAATGCATTTTTGGATAATTTAACCATTTCAGTCGGACATCTTTTGCATGTCATATTAGTTAAAGATACTTTCCACAAGGTGTTAAAAGTTGTAGAATGGGTACACAAATAAAAATTGAGGACATGTTTGTCACACTTATAAAAATGGAGGAATTTATCCTAAATAAACTGAAACTAATTGACTCAAGATTTTTAGTTAAATAATTGATCAATAATGGTCAAAACCAACGTCTCGTACTAATTTCTTTAAAAGCATAATATTCAAAACATGTGAGCTGCAACAAATTAAAAAAGGAATATGATAAATCTAATATTTATACGATGACCAATAACTCTTGAAAACTTCACCCAATTTGGATATGGACTGTATTGCTTCATTTGTGAAAGAAATGATATAATTAAGGGAGAATTGCATGATTTCAAACCTTTCTTGTTTAGCAGACTTTATCTAAATATTTCATTTGTATCACCCACAATTTCAAACTTTTTATTTTGTTGCAGCACAATGACAGATGGATGGATTCATTCATTTGACCGTTATTGATCGAGAAAAATTGATTTTGACCAAACATAAACATGATAAAATGACATAAACATGATAAAATGGAAACTTTATAATTTTAACATAAGATAAATAAAAAAAATAGAAGGAATTATTCATCATTTTCTTTCCACCCCCATTCACCCCCTCTCCCACCTTTCAACTAGACGCAACCAAATTAACCCACCACTACATCTCCCACCGCTTTGTCGCCTGTCACAACCTTATGGCCTTATGGCTCCAATGTATGGTCTTAGGAAAAATGGATTTTGCCAGAAATTGATTAATCCTCGTAATTTGCCTCAATAAAATCATAGCTTGCTCTTGCTTAAATGCATCTGAACTCTTCATCATGTTGACCGAATTCTCATCTTTTGATGAAGCGAAATTATAACTCGAAACCTCGACTGATACGATAAATTCAAACAAGATTGTCAACGACGATGAAGCTAAAAAGAAAGAGGGCCTAGTAGCAAATGACAAATGGAGGGGTTTCAGAAACATAGTGAAACAAATCACTTTTTGAAACTACACAATTTTTAAATTATCTCGACTCAAACAAAATCCCATACGACTTTCAATATTAGGAGAGAAATTCTGCAGGGATTTTTCTCTATATAGACAACCGTCAAATAACTTCCATCCATCATAAAAATGGGCGATTTTTCTACAATAACTTCCATCCAATTACCAAATGGGAAGTTATGTAGGCAGTTAATTAACCCACAATTTAAACTTTAGTTAATTCGACAATTTAGACTTTAATTAGTTTGACTTTATATTGAGCATATGGGCTACAAATAGTTTACATTATCTCACTTGGTCCACATATTCATCGGTTAATGATGAGTGTATTTCACTCATATTTTAGATAATATCTAAACTTGATATTTAGCTAATTCCTACGATTTTTAGGGAGTTTTAATTTGTGTTTTGATGTTTTGATATATATTGATGAAATTGAAGGAAATAAGAAAAAGTCGAAAAATTTGGAGAAAGGGCGCCAAATTGTGAGAGATCCAAAGTTCGTAGACTAAAATGCAAATAATCAAAAGTTATGTTGAACCTTGCAATGAAGATCTGAGAGTGCTAGGAGTCAATTGGATAAAGAAATATGTCAAAGGGATCAAATTTAGTCAAAATATGATTACAAACTAATTTTCAACCTAAAAGTTATGATCCGGAGTTTTAATCTCATATTGAAACCTATTTTTCTCATAGAAAACGATTGAATTAGAGAATCATGTTCCAAGAAAAGTTATAGCCCTTTAAGTTATCTTTCGAACGCATCTTGGATCTCTTCAATTGGACATCGGGAAAAAAAAAGTCATGATAAAAATACTAAAGATGTACGGTCTGCCTTTTTCACCCGAACTGTGTATCGCGACGCCTAGCAATCTATAAAGTAACAGAACGCTGAGCACCGCTACAATGGTGCCGAGGTGCCTGCCATGTTGGAAAGGGTTTTTTTAAATATTTTTTTTGCCACTTTCTTAGCCCAATTCAACCCTAATTCGTCCAAAACTCCAAAACACTATAGTTACAATATCAAAAACATATTTTCACATAGAATACAAGGAGGGCATGATTGAAAAAAAAACCAAAAGGAGGCAAGAACAATATTAAGGAAGAAGATTGAAGATTTGCCTGCAAAACTAGTTTTTCCATCCTCTTCTTTATGTTGTGTATTATGAATTGTGTGAATTTTATAGATTACATCATGAACTAAATAATTTATCTAGAGTTTGATGTAGCCAAACTTGAAATTAAGTTTAATGTTATCTTAATTATTTCTTTTGATTTCCCACTTATATTTAATTGTGTCACGAGTTTAATGCTTTCAATTATCCGATCAATAATTGAATGAATAAACGCTAGTCAATTCTGGCACTCGAGAGAGGAGAATTTAGACGTAATCATAAGGTTGACACAACATAGATTTTATGGGTTTCGAGAGAAAGTATAAGATCTATGAAACTTACTCCATGAAAGAACCAGGACTTCAATGATAATTCTTGATTTTAATTCGGAATAGAGATATTGAAGTTGGAATCCAAGATTAATTTCTAGCCAGCATTCGAGAGAGGGGAGGAAAATATATTAGGGTTCTTGCTTTTAAATATGGAAAAATTAATTGGAATAATTGGAAATCATTGAATCATAATTAAGAGTTACATGAAATCATTCCCCAGGCTTTCTCATCTTGATAATTTGCATTCATCAACTTTGTCACAACAGATCACGTTACATTAGTTTAAAACATTATTCAACCATCATTTATCTAAATAAAGTAGAAGTTATACAATTATAGTACCTAGTAAAAATTGAATTACAATCCCCGTGGGTTCGACATCATCACTTTTTTACTATATTACAAAATTTGACACCCTATATTTGCTGAATAAATCACATTGTAGAAAATGCATGGCAGTTAACTTCAAGTGGGTACTTAATATGGCCATAAACTGAAACTGTCAATAACTCACTCAATACTTGAATCATGACGGTTCTGCTTTGATAATAAAACATTTTCTTCCATGCATTACTAATAAGTATACTTCTAAAGAGTACTTTACTTTATGAAAGTTATTTAGGGTCCAAACGTCAATAACCACAATGGAAATCCATTACGAACTTTAAGTGTACTAATAACATTGTTTCAAATACAAAAACAATAATATTAAAACAAAACATCAGAGTATCATATTGAGCACGCAAGTCCCATATTCTCAACACGAGCTTTATAAATTTTAGTTGGCAAGCCCTTAATCATGAGAACTGCAATCATGAGATTGGTCTTGATACGTTTAATGGCCACTTCATTTTTCTTTATATGATCTTTGACAACTAAATACTAAATATGTCAATATGTTTGCTTCGGCTTCCACATTTATTATTTCTTGAAAAGAAAATTACAGCTAAATTATCGCAATAAATCTTAAAAGGCTTTTCTATGTTATCGACAATAATGCTTGTGTTGTATTTTCATAGCAACCAATGAATTCTGCTTCTATGGTAGATGATGCCATTATATTCTGCTTGCTGCTTTTCCAAGATACAACTCCTCTAACTAGAAGAAAAGTGTATCTTGAATTAGACTTTCTTTTGTCTACACATCCAGCAAAATTTGAATCCGTATATCAAATAACTTCAAGATTGTTGGAATGCTTGTATGTGAGTCTATATTCTTTGGTTCCTAGTAGATACCCATCACTTTCTTGGTAGCTTTTTAATGTTCTCTACCCAGATTACTTTGATATTTGCCTAGTACACCAACTGGAAATTCAATGT